CCATGTCCAGCGAGAACTGTGCTTTAACAGGTTAAAATGCTCTTAAAAGACAGAATTACAATAGTTTATCCAAGGGCCTGGCCTTAAAAATAAACGTCTGTATCCTGACACATAAAACCTACTGAATCATTCATGCACCTTACATTTTCGGTTACACTAATCATTATAGTATTATTTGAACAGGAATACAATTTCTCAAAGACTGCACTATTAGATAAGAAAGATGAAGAGCTTTACAGAAAGAGGCTGAGGTCAAAATTCTTTCTATCAGAAGAGAATTTTATTGCAGAAATATACAAGACTGACTCCAAGTAATAGTAAAATAATATTCAGCCTGTTTGTGCTCGTACAAAGATGCATGATGTTAGTGTGTAACTCAAAATGATTCTTTTCTAGTGCAAAACAGGAAAAAGTCACTGTATTACAATAAACCCAGTCCTGATTCTCTCACTTTCAGCAAATGCTAATTGATTAATGATATAAGTAGTTATATACAAGTATCTTACCTGAACCCTGGTGCTCTGGACAGTCTTTCTGAAAGTGCTCCACTGATCCACACACCCTGCAGCAGCCACCTAGCAAACCCAGCAATAAAACACGCGGAAGAGTTCATACAGCCCATTTTCCAAATCCTCATCTTAAACCCTTTGCAAAGCAACACCTTTGCATCTACTTATTAAAGGCATGATAAACTAAAAGGTTTGAAATTAGGCCTCTTTTTCAGAAGGCAAGTGAACAGCACTTCACTTGAGCAATGTATATTGCTCACAAAATATATTTTAAGCAATCACATAATATATATCTTATACAGTGCTTTTTATAATTCATAATTCCAAGGCAGTGTAAAATAATAAAAAAAACAAAGACAAGTCACTAGGGGGCGGCGCGGTGCCTAAGGATCTGCGCCTGTGGCTGGAAGGTTGCCGGTTGGTATCCTGCAGCCGACAGAGAAATCCTACTCCATCGGACCCCTGAGCAAGGCCCTTCATCCCAACTGCTCCAGGGGTGCCGTATAAATGGCTGGCCCTGTGCTCTGACCCCAAGCTTCTCTCCCTGTCTGTGTGTCTCATGGAGAGCCAGTTGGGGTATGTGAAAAGATAAATTCCTAATACAAGAAACTGTATACGGCCAATAAAGTGATCTTATTCTATTCTTATTCATTCTTATTAGAACTGCAAACTGTACTCTGAATTACCATGCAGAGCATAGATGTGAGTTTTAGGACAGCTGGCTGACGTGTAAGATCTCATAATGGGCTCGGAGATCATTCCACAGTCCTGGAGTATCAGAGCTGATAGAACAGTTTGCCAGTGTTCGAAGCCGGGAACTGGGAACTGGAAGAAGGCCTGAGTCCAGTGAGAGCAAAAGACTTGTAGGTGTGTAGAGAGAGAAGAGTTCACTGCCATCAAGCCCTTAAAGCTGAGGAGCAGCTTTCTGAATCTTTATTCTGAAATCCACAAGGATACCAGTGCAAGGTACCTCAAATAGGAAGGAACAGCTCTTTCACACTATATATGTCTAGAGAAAGCTTTATTATTTGAAAATATTTCAACTTAATCTTGATTTTCCTACATTCTTCCTAACACTCGTTTTCAACCGTTCGGTTAAAACGTCTACAGGTTATTGACACCAGCCTGAACCTTGGATCTCAACAGTACTCGGCTCACTAGGCTCCTGACAGCCAGGGCTCCCTCCATGTTGTGCAGCAGAGGTTTGCCTTCTACAGCTCACAGATTGACAAGAGTCCCACAATCCTCTGTGGAATGGAGCGTCTCCAGTCTTTCATGTCCTAAATTTAATTTCAGCTTGGGTCCCCAGCTCCTTGCATTGCTCTTCAATCTTCACCGAGATCATTAGGTCAACACCTTTCAGGATTTGGAATATTTCAATCACGTCGAACCCACAATCGTCTCCATTTCAGGCTCAAGGGATTTTTATTCCCTTAGTATGTCAACATATGGCTTCACTCAGGTCACCAGCACTTTTTTAAAACAAATTTCAGAACCATCTGACGACGTGTTTTTACTTTTCCTAGAAAACACACTAAACTGCAGCTCAAGGCAGCTGGGGATGGATCAAGCGATGTTAAAGTCAAGCTCAGTGATGTCATACCTGCTGCGTACATCCCTTTGGGGTTATCAGGACACGATTTCGACAGGTGGCCAGTCTGCCCACAGATGAAACACTTAGCAAAGGGAAAGTCACCTGTAAGGGCATTAAGACAAGAAATTAAATCACCAGCGACAAAAAGAAAGTGAACAAAACAGGCTTATTCATCAAACCTGCTAAATGAATACCTACACGTTTCCGTCTGAAAACAGTATCAAGAAGGGAGAATTCAAACAACCGCTGCATAGTATGGGATACAGCTCATCTTACATTTGTCAATTAAAAGAAAGTATGTGACAAAGCCAACACAGACAAAAGTATTCTCATCTGTAATGCTGAATTCATGACACTACTGACTACAATTAAGTCAATATCCATGTTCCCAGGCACTCAGCTGGATCCATTCCACTCTCTTGCTCACAGCAGAGGTGCCCCACTATCTCAGGGCACCCCCGGGCTACATTACCTAATTCAGTGACGAGCTGCTGCTGCAAAAAAAAAAAAGTTGTAGCGATCCACAAAAAACACACCTAGACCACTGTCGTTCTGTCCTGAACCTCTATTTTCTTACCAAGCGCGGGGTCCACTTTAGCTCTGCACCTCTGCAGCTCGTGCTCTGTGGAACCACAGCGGTAACAGATCCCCCTGCCCATCTCCTCGTCTTCGTCGGCCTCTGGGCAGTCAGCCAGCCTGTGCCCAGGCTTCCTGCAGTTGAAGCACACCTGCGAAACAGCAATCGGTCAGCAAACACGCGACCACACACCGCCTGGGCTCGTGGCTGGAACAGCAGGTAATCTATTCGTTTTCGGCCATCCGGGGACGTGTGGATAGTAGACAGGTTTCTATCTGCCAGCGTGAGTACACAAAGGCCAAAGCTGCCAATGACTTGTGTCCCAGTGCAATACCATTTCACACCTCATCTTCCTGTCATGTGCGGCAGCATTACTGTGATCGGGAGCTCGAGAAGGATGTCCCGCCGGACTGTAAATAAATCAACAGGACAACGCTGATGCAGCAAGACCTTACGTGTGCAAGCCACTCTACTGGTGCTTTCCTGAGCTCAGGGCGCTAAATTCAAGCGCACCACGGGGCCAATCTTTTCCTACGTCCTCGAAATCGATCACCTGCCACCACGCCTTTTCGAGATGAAAACGATGTTTTTGCAGGGTGTGACAGGAGGGCGAGGGCTCTCTCACCATGTGGGTTTTCTTCAGCTCCTGCCTCTTCAGCCTCCTCTCCTCGCGCCTCTGGTCCTTCTTGAGCGCCAGCGCCACGTCCTCCCGCGCCCCGGAGACGCCCGCCTGCCGGAGGTGCGCCAGGAACCCGTTGACGTCCTCGCCGTCGTACTCCTCCTTCTTCTTCCTGCCGGGCTTCCGGCCGAGCGGGCCCCCCCGGGAGGGATCCCGTCCGCGGTGAGGGGACGGCCCCGGCCCCTGCGCCCCGCGGCCACACCCCTCCTTCAGGTCGCCCCAGGGCGTCGCCTCGGCGGGCTTGCACCTGTGGACGTTGTTGGCTCGGGCCCAGCGGGTCATGGCAGCCCAAAGGGAAACCTGTACATGAGAGCACAGGGCCATCAGCTTCCCCTCTCTCACCAGCACGGAGCGCACCAGAGTGGGAGAGAGGCTTTAAAGAACATGGCTGCAGCCAGCAGTTACCTCACCCCGCAGCTCAGCAGGTCCCTGCTCAGAGGCTGCCAGGACCTGCATGGGAGACCTCCCGGGAAAAACTAAGGCTGCTGCTGGGAGAGGTGTTTATGGGACCAGCAGGGGGCGCTCACCCTGCAGCCTGTGTGAGACCTAATGCCCCAGTATAGTGACGGGGACAGTATACTGTAAAAAAGGCGCCGTCCTTCAGATGAGATGTAAAACCGAGGTCCTGACTCTCTGTGGTCATTAAAAATCCCAGGGTGTTTCTCGAAAAGAGTAGGGGTGTAACCTGGCCAAATTTCCCCCTGGCCTTTACCAGTTATGGCCTCCTAATAATCCCCATCTCCGAACTGGCTTCATCATTGTGTTCTCCTCCCCACTGAGAGCTGGTGTGTGGCGTGCATACTGGCACACTATGGCTGCTGTCACATAATCTAAGTGGGGCTGCACACCAGTGGTGGTGGAGGGGATCCCCATTACCTGTAAAGTGATTTGAGTGGAGTGTCCAGAAAAGAGCTATTTAAGAGTGAGGAATTATTATTAACATAAGAAAGGTTACAAACGAGAGGAGGTCATCTGGCCCATTAGGTTGTTTGGTAGCTAGTAGTTAATTGATGCGAGGAACTCTTGAAGGTTTCTTGAAGGAAAGCAATGTATCAGCTGCAACAATGTGGCTGGGTAGCTTGTTCCAGGCTCCCACAAGTCTTTGGGTAAAGAAGTGCCTCTTGCACATCCATGCAAGTTTCCACTTATGCCCTCTGGTTCATGTTTCACTTTTCATTCAGAAGAAATCCACTGTGGTGCCTTTGAGGATTGTGAATATTCAGGTCCCTTTGTAACCTCCTCTATTCAAGACTAAAATGTTTAATCCCTTCAGCTGTTTTAAAAATACATTCACAAACAATATCTCTATTCACCTGCAGGACAGTTGATCAGCAATGTAAGAGTGACCAATGATAAATGCGTCTTCATCTATAATTAATACTGCTTGGTGGTGATAGTGTAATTGTTTAATAGTTTGCCTAATTTTACCTCTCCCCTGTCTTCTACTGCACTTATTGCTGACACTTAGCTTTAAAATCTTTCCCAGCATCTTTAACAAACATTTCTGTAATAAAAATAAGTATTACCAAAATGCAAGAAAACATAGATCCATTTCCGCCCTTACTCATAATGGTTACTGATGGCAACTGGTTATTAAAACATTGCCAGCAGAATCAACTTATTATAACAATATTACGATCTGTAATAAATAAAAAATATATATACCTGCCATTAATACTCACTTTTTTCTATCTCGGATAAAATACTCACTCTCGGTATCAATGTTCTGCATATAGAATACAGCATTATGCTTATGATAAGACCATAATTATATTATTTAGACACGCATCAGGCGCCGCCTCGCAACATTCTTTAAAATGTACTATGAAATAAATTTACAGAAAGCCAAACATATAGCACAATTCTATATACATAAAATCAAAGCAATATTATTACTCTTGGGTGTAAGTACTCAAAACGAATCTAAGACGAACAAATGCACGTAAATTAAATCTGATGCATACTGCAGCAACGTAACTCAAGAAAACGTGTTAAAATGTTAACGGTGCAATTTAAATAAACTGGCGTTCACTGTTAAAGACAAAGTGTTCTCGTGTATTCATCTGGAATATAATTCGACATCGGTGAAACTACAAATTTAGCAAATTAAAACTTACTTTCAAAGTAGACGAAAAATTAATTCACGTGTTCCCCCACGCCTGTTTCCTCTTCCTGTGTACAGTTCGTGTAAGATCCGGACTGCAACTCAGAAACCAACTTTAGTTCCTAGGAGATTGACGAACAAACATTGAAAATTACAGTACATTACTGAGGAGACCAGCGACCTGTCAGGGGTGTTGTCTCGCCTTGAAGAACATGATATCACCATTCACACAGATGGTGCAGAGATTATATAACTTTGATTACTGGGCCTGGAAACTTCACGCTAAATGCCGTGTACTTAAATATTACAACTAGTGATATTAAGTTATTAGCGAAACTTGTTTTGAAACGATGTGGTTCTGTTTTAATAATGGTGTTTTGAAGGCAACAGACCGAAGTGAAACAATAAAAAAACACATGCACAGAAAAATTAGGAGCCTAGTTTTAACAAATTATTATTTTATAGTATTATTATTATAGTATTATTTTACATTTTCACATTTCTGCCACTAGAGGACAGATGGAGACTCTAATGTAATGCTCGTTCCGGCTGTATACAGAAGGTCACTCATGTTTTACCTCAACTGTATGCACATTATTACAAAGGAATTACATTTTACTTGGGTAAATGTATTAACAAGTGTTTTCTGCACCCTTTAACGACACATTATTAGTTTCTGTAAATTCTAAAATGAACTGGGAGACAAATAGTTGGAAACACTGTTTTTTTATTTTCCAAAAAAGCAGATTAATTTCCCAGGTAAGATTTTACATCCATTATCCCATCGGTTTTGACACACTCCCCAGTTCCTGCTGATATAAAGTGGAAATACATCACTATGCTGTCACCACCATGCTTGACAGCAGGGATGCTGTGGACTGATGATGCACGATGTTGAGATGGCATTAGACGTAACACTTTGCATTCAGTCAAAAAGATCCAAATTTGTGTTGTGTCTTTTGCCACATGTTTGCAGTATCAGTCAGGTGCTTTGTTACAAACCCCATGTGGAACCAGATTTATGTTTTCAGCTGCAAGCCGCCCTTTGTGCAGTGAGCAGGATATCATTGACCCAAGAACATCTCCGCTGCCAGCCACTGAACTGAACCTTTCAGTGAACACGGGAGGTTTTATACCCTTCTCCAGATCTGTACTTCTACGTTGCAGCTGTATTCCTGAGTTGTTATTTGGAAAGCTCTTTGGGTTTCATGGTTGAATCTTTGCTTGATCACTACATAACCAGGACCTCCTGGATATGATTCTGAAAACATGCGAACCAGTATTATTGTACAACACACTGACAGAGACCCCTTAACGTATTGTATGGCTTGTTAAGGTGAGTGTTTGGATACTTCTGTAATAATACATAACTATTTACTTATTTTATTTTTTGCTTTGATTGCGTAGAGGAGGCTAAGTATCTACCGAACATTGTTTCAGTACTTCAAAGTGTCATGATCACAAACTTTAAAGCATAAAAATGTTAGAACTGTGCAAGGCTCTAAGTATTTTTGGAAGGCACTGTACACTTGCAAGTGTCCTGGAATGTGCTTATGAAGTGAACAGACATTTACCTCTCATTTAAGCTTCGCATTTCCTGGTAAAAGGAAATAAAAATAAAAATATCAGACTTGATTGGGATGAGGTTGTTCTATTTTTCCACAGTTTGAAACTTCTATTCTACTGAAAGGGATCTTCAAATGAAGAGCATTCATGACTACAGTAAATCCACCCCTCTTCTCTTGCCTGGGTTTGCACTCTGAGATGATCCTGATCAACAGCTAAAGGACTTTCAGTGAGGAGGATGGAAAACACCCCGCACTGGCATTGCTAATCCAATTTCATCTGGCATCCAAGCAAAAGGGAGAGATGGAGAGAATCCTGAAATGATAACCCTGGTGCGTTTCTGGCAACCACAAGATTCGGTGTGACAAGGATGAAATAATATATTGAAATACAGGAGACATGAGTGATCGCGCTCAGCACGATTAACACCCATAATATTTTAAAACCATTTTAATATCTGTTGCAGCCAGTGTTTTTCCGTAACCTCCTAGAATTATGCATACTGTACCTTCTTCTCTGTGCACTTGTGCTCACATGAGCAGAGAGAGGGAGAGCATGTCTATGTGTACCATGTTGTGTGTTATTGAACATATAGCAGATATGCTTTCCCTGTCTCCTCTCGTGGTTAAGCTAACTTCTTATGTATAATTTCCAGTGACAGCTGTTAATTTAAGCACTGCATTTGTATGAACGGTGCTTGAATTTCAATATATCAATCTTTAAAAATAGTTTATAATTATAGCTTTTCATTTTGATAATTAACAGATAAGGGTTTTGTTTTTACAGTAGTGTGATGTGCATCTGTCCTGCAGTGACAGGATAATCATGTTAGTTTTGTAAAGAAAAGACTGTGTTGGGATCTGGTTCAAGTGTTCAGAATCCACAAAGGCGTTGATAAACTCAACCCATTGGACAAGTGAAACATTGGAACCCACTGGAATAGTGAAACATAAACCATTTCACCTGAGAATGATGGTGAAAATTATGGGAAAGTGCACTTAAAACTAGGAAAGGATTCTTCACAAAATGGCTGGATGAGATTACTAGATCACTTTTTGACAATAAGCATCATACAGTAGCAGGATCTATAACACTTCTGTTCTTTTAGTGTTGCTAACATGTTGTGAGGGTACACTAGAGACAAAAGAGATACACAAAGATGGCTTTGACCTGTACGGTATGTTATGAATTATTTCATGGAAAAACTGCTGCACAGACCCATGTCACACATTCTCTTCACACCCACTGCCTTTACAGCAACAAAAAGGACCAGACAGCATGCCGCCCTCTTCTCTTAAAATAGTCAACTGCATTTTGTTACAAGCTGCCAAATGGCAGTTATGGTCTGTAAGCCTGGTTGTGATACCTACAGACAAAACATATGGGGCAGAGTTGAATCACTCCCACATTCACCAGCATCTTCCCTGTGGCCTTGGTCTAGACAGCCATCGTGATTCTTAAGTATGGCACACTAATAGTATTATGAGGATACGCGTCACAAGCTTCTTTGAAGAATTTAATGAGCTACTGAAAGACTTTAAGCTTTCTTAAAGTGCAGATGGAGGATGATGTCCCTCTGGAGTAACCAACTGCACATTTCACCGGAGACACTCCTGCACTGCGCATGTACATTGACACAGGACCTGCGTGAAGATAAGAAGGTTAACACACAAGAGGAGGCCATTCAGTCACTGCAGCCCATTTGCTAGTTAGTGGCTAATTGAACCAAGAATCTCATTGAGATATTTGCTGAAGAAGTCCAGCCTGTCAGCTTCAACAACACAGTGGGGTGGCTTGCTCCAGACTCCCTCAACCCTTTGCATGAAGATTGCGTATAGCAGCTCGTCCAGTTTCCAATTTTAAATGCACTTCCACCCACAGTAGTTGCCACACTTGTGTCGCCTGGTTCACGTTTCACTGTTGTTTCTATAAAAGCCCGGTGAGTTGACTTTTGTCAGTGCCTTTGAGGACTGTGAATACTTGCATCAGCCCCCCTCGCAGGTTTTAGATACTTTAGTGTGGAGCTTTACTCCTTTATATTCCATGACTTTGAACGATTTTAAGAACCTTTTTAAATATAAATGGTTTGAATGTGACAAAAATTGAATACGATTCCTTGTTCAGGATTTTTTGCCATATTTGAGAATTCATTTTGTCAGTTTTGTTTTGCATTAATTTTTACATCTGATTTAAACCCTGCCACCTGGGTCTAATATCAAAGCGCGGATTTCAAGGTCTGATTTTCAGTGAGGTAGAGTACCTCTTATATACTGTAGTGCATACAGTACCAATTGTATGCTTTAGCCCTAAACAAGATTTATTGTTCAGCAGAAGAAGTCACAAAATCACAGAAGAAATGGTACAGTATAAGTTCTCTTTAGATTGAATTCTTCTTTCTTTTTCACATTGGAACAATAAAATAATTCACTTTCTTAAAGGTGTTAAGAAGGATAGTCTTTACCAGCTGCAGGGCCTTCTCTTTGCATTCTGCAATATGTACCAGTGGTGTTTCCTAAGGAGGGGATGCGGTCTATACATGCAATGAATAATTTGTTTCATACCAGGGGTAATATGAAGGGACTGGCTCCATCTAATGCCTTTCAATTAGTAAAGGCTTCACATAATCCTTAAGAAGTGATCACTATTTGTAATAAGGATTTGAATGTTGCAGATGAGGCCATTTCCTGGGACAGTATTTGGAATGATACAGTACATATCCTGCCTCCAAGAAGGCACAAACTATCTTAATTAATTGTTAATCATAAAAGTCATGAAAAGTGGCAAATGTCTTATGTTTACGGTGTTGAGGAAAATAAAGCTTTGCTCACAAAATGAGTAGTTAAAAGCTGTACTATTTCAATTACAAGTAATAGGTTTATTCCACGCTGGAAAAAAAAAAAAAAAAAAAAAAAAACAAAAACGTTCCGCCCAGGGGTTTCCTTCCTCCTTTTTTCCCCAGCAAGGAATAAACCTATTACTGTACTTGTTCCTTTGCAGCCTACGCATGCTGACGCAGCTACCCACCTGAACTATTTCAATTACAGTAAATATTCAATTCAAAATACTTCATTCCTAAGGGTGCGATCTGAAATTAAATTAATAGTTTAAATTGATAGTAATTTATTTATAGTTAGACAAATTAAAAATGTCATATAACTATAAATAAAATACGACATAAATAAGTGCATTAAGCACATCATTAAACCTAAGACATGCAAAAAGGTATTCACACAATTACATGGACAGATCGTGCCCAGTGGATACATGATAACCACGCTATCTCTCGTACAAGCTAATTATCCCAGTTCACAATAGTTGTGAACAGTGACAAACTGCCACCGAATGCATGGCGAGACGATGAACATCAAAGCAATCGTTTTCACAATGAACAAGGCTAGTGCGAGATCTAAAATGCAAAAACGAATTAATATTTCAGAGAAAGAATGCGGTACAAAGCTGAAGAGAGCATTTGGTGTCCTTTAAAGGTCAATCGTGAAGACGTACAGATAAGCAGAGGCAACAAGGACACTACGAAGATCTGGGAGACTAAGCCGATTACCTGCAAGTGGCAAGTGGTGCAACATGTCCTGTAATTGAAAAAGCAGGAGGTCCACTGGTTATGTGCGACAAAACACACAAAGCTACTGTATAAACCCATTTTAAATTCCAGAAATGTACTGTAGAACACTGCAAATCTACAAATAACATAGGACCCTTTTTTAGACATTTCAAACTGCCAATTGTTTATGCATCTCCTCAGTAGCAGGAATGAGGAAGTGTAGACAGACTCCTCTGACCCACCTTAAAGCCTCTCGTCTTCTATACACATTTAGACATGCCCCCTACCGCAGACTCGGTGCCGATTGGAGGAGAGGCATGTCCCCCACCGACAGCACTGCATGCCTACAGGCGTCACCCGGGACACTGTTGGGCCGAGATCCAAGATACGCAGATGCGGGTTTGACGTTCGCTGGTCACAGTCAGCTAGTAACATGACCCAAGATTGAGCTGCAATCATTGAGCTCAACCTGCTCTCTGGCCCCAAGCCTGAAGGGGTTGAAAAGGAGAGACCCGTGGCCTCTTCTTGATGGTGGGGGAGTTAACAGCAACACCAACAGCCAAGAATGAAGAATTTTGGGTTTTCTTTTTTATTTCCTTAAACCAATTTTGAAAACCAATTCTGAGAACATTGTTTGGGTTACATTGCTCAAAGGTTTTTTTTTTTTTTAATCACAGGTCATTATGTACGCTGCCCATGCAATGAGTGTAGTTTTTGGATGGCAGCGATTCCTCCACAAAACATTTCTTTCAGGTCACGCTCCATAACTTTCCTTGGGTTCGTCAGAAAGGCATGGAGGCCTGCACTGCCCGTATGCCAGGGCACATTTAAAACATGATTGAGGATAATTCTGGCCATCGGTACCAAATGATGGATCTTTTGATGTGCTTCTCTTTTCCGACTCTCAGAATTTTAAAAAGCACGAATCACACAGGCAATCATGTTAGGCCATTAGCTCTAAGCTAATGTTCCCCCACACCGTACTCTGTTCAGTCCTGCCTTGGTAAAAAGAAATGTGGCTCCCATCTCGGAAATGTTGGTACTTATGCAAGGCCTTTTCAATTGGGTATAATCTATGAGACACCAGGATGGTCAGGTGTTTAAGTACATCTCTAGAGGAGAAGGTTGGAAACAAACACTTTGAAGAAAATCTTGCTAGAGAGAATAGTGTTTGATTCCATGTACTTGTACTAAAGAGCTCCTATTATACATAAACTACTGCAAGTTCTCGAACTGGTGGATACGGGTTCATTTCGCATATATTTTTGTGCCTTGATCGATATTGTAACAAAATGGCGGGTCAAAGGTCAAAATTATTCTGCCACCAGTAAAAAAACGCCCGATAATACTGTATGCCCCCGCGATAACGCCAGCGCTCATTGGCTCATTTTCACTGGTCGGCGCGTCACATGATTTCTGGTTGTTTTTCACGGTTCCCACCTCACGACTGCTCGCACCCCCTCCAGGATTCAGGCTCTCGTGTTAGCCTCCTTCTGGGTACAGCTGAGTGGACTCTGCCTCTTTCACATCTTGCCCCGCTTCTCCTCACCTGCCAGCCCATCACACGGTCTCTTAACTATGCCCAGGAGCGCTCTCGCCAGCAACACCATGATGCTCAGCTTTCCGTCACGAACGGTTCTTTCCGGGCCCTATGCAGACGACACGATCCGGATGGTGAGGAAACAGTAGGGAGGAAATCATGCAGGAGAGGGTCTGGAGACGGAGGGGCGTGTCCAAGGTGAGCAGGTGTCCGGGGGAAGTGAGTCCGGGGCGAACAAACAAAGACAACGTCCAAACGGGGAATCCAAAACAGAAGAGAAGTCCAATGCCAGACGATCCATCCATGGGAATTAAAAACCAGGAGTCGGGACGGGACCGGCGAGGGGAAATCAGGAACAGAGGGTTAAAAACATAACGGAGCCTAGACGCAGCTGGACCGCGGGCTCTCGCGAAGCGGGATTCAATGAGGAACCAGGAGTGACGGCTGGGTCTGGCTTTTAAGGTGGAACGTAAATAAGAAACAGGTGCATGTAATGGGGCAGAACAAGGAAGTGCTGGAGCGCCCTTAAGAGGAGGAGCAGCAGCGATCGTGACACTTTCTGTCTTTGTCTCTCTATACACTAATTCTCAACCCTTGACTAGACTAGACTAGACTAGACTAGCATTTCCACTCTTTGGAGCCCTGCTCTGTTTCATTTTCATCTTGCTCTACACACTGGAGATCTCAGTTCATTATTGCATAGTTCCTAGCTCTTTTTCTCCAGCAACACTCCTCTTCAATAGGAATAAAGTACCTTTGGCACCCTGCTCTCTTTCATCTTACACTAAGCACTGCTCACTCTCTCTCTCTTCACCACCTTCCCCCAGCTCTTCCTGTTTGGCCAGGGATGCTCTATATACCAACTTTGTCGTCCATAACGCAGCAGCAGCGGGTTCTCTTCCATCAACGTTCAAACACACAAGGTGCCTGAGTGGCTTTTTACAGTCCAAAGGTACTGTACCTTCACATATCCCCTTAAAAAAGAGTCAACCTTACTACAAACTAACAGAGACATAGAAGTTTAGGGGAATCATGCTGATTGTTAAACAACATAGGACAGGACAACAAATCCACAAAACAGTGTACTAAAGCTGATGCTAAATTATGGGCACCATTTCTCTAAACCAGTGGTCCTCTTTACTACCTTTTTTAAATACAGAAGGTGGAAATCCTTCACTACTTCTTACTTCTTCTACCCCAGAGAACGAGAGAGAAAGCTATGACTGACCTTCTTACTGATAAAAACTGTACTACAATCTTTCCAGACCAATTCACGTTAGTTTATTCGTCAGATGCACCACTGCACTGAAGTGCTTATTTGCATGTACTGTATGCTCCAATACAAAGACATTAAAGGAATCACCAAGAACACAAACACTAGAACAGCAGCAGCAACAGCAACAAGTTAAAAATCATACAAGGTAAAAAGAAAAGGAAAAGTTAGACAATCAGGGTGAGCCAGTGGTGGGGGTAGAGTTCAGTAATCTGACAGCTTGTGGGAAGAAACTGTCTCTGAACCTGGAAGTTCGTGCCTTTATGCTCCTATAACCCTTACCAGAAGGGGGGGATTAAAGTGAGAAACCAGGATGATTCATAGCCATTCACATTTACCTTGTTATTTTGTTACCTTCTTTGGCCATCTTTCACAAAGGTCTCTATCTCTATTAGCCCCCAGAAGAAGACATTTAGCAGATGTGACTAGGGATAATGAGAATTCTCTGCCCTTAACCCATTGCCACCATCCTGCTGTTCCAGGTCATAATGACAGTCTTCTGTTCAGTTGGTAATTGCTGAGAACACACTAAACAACCCCTGAAACTCACACTTTACAGTTTGCATATCAGGAGTCTCTGAGGTCTTCAATATCTGGACACGAACAGTTAGACTATGTTATCCATGAGAGTGGACTGAGATGAGATGTCTAATTCACTGTGTTTTAATTAGCTAATCTCTGAGGATCTTGTCTGAACTCGTTTTGCATGTTTCCTTGGTATCAGTATTTTAAGACCTGTACTGAGTTGTGATGGTCTGTTGAAAAGTTTGCTTGCAGTCTCCAGCTCTTTCCATCTGTCACACAGTCTTGTAACATAAAGTCTTACATGAAGAGGAATCATTTCACTTCTGATACTTGCAGTGTGAAAAAAGGAGAAAAATGATTCAAAGACATCTGCACAAATACTTGTTCTTGAAGTTGGTTATCGTTTAATGAAATGCTCGTTATTGATGTTTGTGCTGCTGACTTTGTTTTTGGTTTGGAAGATACTGAACTACTGTAGCTTCAAAAAGTATCAAGTGACTCTTCCTACTGTTAAGTTTTTAACACGATAAATCCAGCTTAGTCTTTAAATCCTGAATATAATGCCTTAAATATTGTTACTTAAATCATACCTTAGGATTCAGTGTGCAAATTGAAATAATAAATCATATTATGGTGTTACAGGCACAGTAGGCTCAGAGTGTTTAAGGTGACAATATCTTATTTCCCCCACTCAATTCCTTGTGGTGAGTTTTGAAATATCTCCTCAAAGTGTCATAGCTATTATTGGTTTTTAAAGCACATTAAGTCAGAAACAAACGGGTAACGATAATTCTTATATGCTGTATATCTATCAAAATGGTCCGCTGTGTGTCATAATTATGATTCCTCACACTTATATAGTACTTTTCTGCTGAGTTTTAGTGTGTTGCCAATTGTGAGTTGCAGGGTGATATGGCTGCTGGTAAATTAAAAAAATATATATATATATAAAACAAAATTAAAAAATATATATTAAAGAAACAATCTATAGAATCTGGTTGTAGGTGTTTCAAAGATTAAAAGTTCATTGCTAAAAGAGAAACTAGGGTGCAGATGGATTTTTTTCACAGAACATAAGCACAGACACAGAGCTCTTTACTAGAAGAATTTATTAGAGGCTCTATTACGTGCAAGACCTTCAGTTCTGTCGCTCGTGGAAGCAGGGCTGTGCCTTTCTCTGCAGCAGCCACCCTGCTGCGCTCAGATCGAGGAGCTCACTTTCGAAACTGGGACAGGGGGGCGGGGACCTTGATGTCTTGACCCTTCTCCAGTCTCTTCTCACACTCAATGAGATAGTTGACTCCATCGATAACGAGCTGGACCAGCTCCACCTGAATGATAAGAGTGCCACAGTTACATCCAGAACCAGCGCTTACTTACAAAAACCAGACACAATGAAACCGTCCACAGGGAAGGACTTCTAACGCTATGAAACATAGGCCTTTTCTGCGGATTTCTTTTGGGATTTTTCCTCTGTACGAGGTTTTACAATAGACAGATATAAAGATAATTATTTAATCAACAGAATTAAATAACAATAAAATTGTCTGTAACAAAAAAAAAACAATCATGATTCAAGAGAGCTAATCTACAATCAGTGCATTTTGCACATGATAAATCAAACACTCATTAATTTAAAATTGGATTGTTTTTACATAATAGGCTAACGAAGTGGAAGAAAAGGGACATTGGACATGTATCTGTACCTAGCCCTTTGACTGGACTTTTATTTTCTGGAAATAGACAGCAATCTGGTAAAGCGACAAACCCGGACAAGGTGCAGAGTCACTGCATTCAGGAATTTAACTGCAGTTTCAGGTACAGTATGTGAGGATGAGGGTTATGTTAAGGGCCCTGCATGAACAATTTAAGTTCAAGTCACGGCCTCTCTTTATTAGAAAGAAGTTGCTTCTGTTCCTGTAAGCAGTGAATAATTTTGTCGTTTCCCACAGATTCCAGTCTCACAGTAAGAAGGTTTACCTCCGATCGACCAATACGGTCATTATTGGAAATATCAAACACGTCTCCTACTGCAGCGGTGTCCACCCCGCCGGTACCCCGCTTCTGGAGTCGCAGGTTATCCAGGATCTTGCTGAAGCGGGGATCCTGTGAAATCGAAGATGCTCGTTATGAAAGTGCAGCTTAATTAGCAAGGCGTTGTTCAACACACAATATAACTGTATAACTGCCTAGGACCAGGCAGGGGACACCACCAATCTATCTGTAATGCTTGTCCCCAGTGTAATCATAACTGTCAGACTCCTGATTTATGTGTGAGTACCCCCCCTGAGATTTTATTTTTAGCGGGTTTTAGTCATTTAAAGTTTGTTTTTCTCCATCTGGTTCCTTACATAGGATCTGTCCCTGTCGCCCCTAGATTCTGCTGAATTATAGTAGACGTCGAATCGTTGTTTCTGTATGTTGAGCTACCTGCACATCGTAAAGACTCTGAAGGAGGAGAGAAATCGAGAAAATTAATAAATAAACATAGGAAAGCCTTATAAGCTCTTTCCAAGTTGTTTCATCTACAGTTTAACCAACAAATCTTCATCTAGAGATATTCTGCACCTGGGTGCTTCACAAAGGGTGTTACAGTACCAGTTGTGAAACAGACAAAAGAAACATGACCTGCTGGACAAACACACAATAAGTGTAGACAAGTGTAGGGTTTTACGTGCAGGTAGTAAAAGCATAAAGTATTATAACAAGTCAGGACACTGAGCTAGAAGAGGCTCTGTATGAGAAAGATTTAGGTATTTATGTTGACACGTCATTTACAGTTCATCCCCTAGATAATGTTGAGAGGCAATAACATAATGTCTAACATAATGTTTGGATATATAGCTCGAGATGTGGCATTTAAATTAAGGTATGTCGTGTTGAAACAAAGCTCTAGTGAGACCTCATTAGGGATACTGTGTGCAACTTTGCCATCGTTCAAACAATATACTGCTTCTCTGAGATCACTTCATTCCCAGACTCAGAGGAATGTCCCACACTGACAGGTCAAAGTAATGAAACCTTTACAGAGAAGACTGCGAGAGGACTCAGATGGTTTCTTCAGAATGAACGGTGAGACATGAACCAGAGGAGGCATCTCTTTATACAAAGGGTTGTAGGAGCCTGGAACAAACGACTGCACCACATTTGTCGGTGTAGATACCCAGGCTTCCTAAAGAAACAGCTGGATGTGGTCCTTGGATCAATTAGCTGCTAATAACCGAACAGACTCGACTGGCCAAATGGCCTCCTCTCGGTTGGACCCTGTCTTGTG